GTCTCTAGGTTGGGGTTCGCCTGTACTTTCGTGCGCTGTTTTTGTGAAAAATATCATTTTGGACGGTGTTGAAGCCGCATTATATCACTGATGTTTGCACTATTTAACTGGGTGTACGGGGTGCATATCAAGCTATTGTCTACTCGTAAAAATTGGACAATGATCAGGGGTATCGAACGCTTTGCGCCGCGACGGCGGATGAACCTCGTTCAGAGGCGGCCTCAATTACAATTCTATAAGGAGTATAGGTCTCACCAACAGCTTCCGACTCAACCATACCTCTTTCGAGGAGGTGTGGGTATTGCCCTTATGTAAAGTAGAACCTCCGTGCCGCGAGGTCCGTTGAGATATCGGAGGTGATAGTTCAAGAAGCGCGCCTGAGGCGTAGGTCGAGCACGATATGGAGAAGATTCCATAATCTTGGCTACCGAGTATCTCCGTGGTACTTGCGATTTCTTTATCTGAGAAAAATTTAAACATCTGCGCTCTACGTACTCCCATAAGTAGGCTGGTATGTAGGGTCAAGTTTCCACACGGAATCGTCCACCAACAGGTCGTGAAATCTGTCCGAGTTTAGTAGGAGTAGATCGATTCAGGGGAAAAGCGGCGTTCTATTGTATCAAGTAGATGTTGAGGTCAACGAATTCATTAAACGTGAGATAAAACAATTGTTCATTGTTAGGCAATTATCAACGCCCCGGGTCTGGTGACGATATGAAAGTCCAGATAGATTATACCGCCCGACAACTGAAAGTAGTAGCCATTATGTGGGAACATTGAACATGCTAAAATGGATTTGTGCTACGTACAATGGAGACATGCTGGGAATTCTATTTAATATAAAATGTTTGAAAGCATGGAGCGTTGAGCACTCCCAGGCCTGAATGCAAGATACTATCGCACTCTAGATATGGCGTGGCTCAAACGCCATGAGCTATGGACCGACTGGAAGTTGCAATATTATGTACCTTGTACTTCTGGTGGGCTTCGGTGAGTTATAAGTTGATATGTATCAGGAAAGGGAATCGCTCTAAACACGAACGCGAGGCCTTAGTACCTTCAATGCAGGAGCTGAGACTTTAGTTGCTCAAACTTTGCGAGATTAAATCACGACGGGGACTCTGATGTGTTATTTCATCACGTTAAGTTCTGTTTTTTTTGCTTGTCTGCATGTGAAAGTGTCAATTTACCGCCCGAGCCTTGGATATCACCAAGGTACTGGAGCAGGGCAGAAGCAGTCGTGACTCTCGATATCAAGATGAGACATACGAAAGTTATCGTACGTTGGTCCTAGAGCGTATCCCACCTGCGAGATAATCGCACAATTGAGCTTGATGTGTTATTTCGAAAGTATGCTTTGAAAGATTGCGCAATCTTAAGGCTACCGAAATGGTACGCTTGGTACCCGATGAAGAGCTAAGATCATCATCCGTCATAGATTTGTCCCTCAATAAGGGCAAACAACAAGAACTGAGTACGACGAATGGGAAGGCTATCCTAGAAGACTCAAGAAAAACATTATTATCCAATTTGTTGACGGTGTGTGACGGAGGACCCACCGCATGTGTTATCCCCGAATTGGGAAGCATCAAAAAGTTAGTCTACTACATTATGCGTTCATATAATGACACTTACCAATGACACAATGCAACATTATAGGCGTTGTGTTCTGTGCGAAGCACGAAGCCGTTTTAGCTTATAAAAATAGCTCTCGGCGCCATTTTTCTGCGTCAGCAAGGCTAATGGCAAGTAACGCCAAGTGATGGCTTAAGAAAAGCCTAATGCAGTCAGTCTCGGCACAGTGGTCGATTTAGAGAATGAGTGTGCTGCAAAACAATATAGTAGATTGCGAGTCTCTCAGTGCCCTTCACCAAATTAGACGATCTTACTTACTCATGGAAAGAAAAAATGATTTCCCTCTTACCACAATGATTTACTTCATGAAGGATGCTATGGTACCAACTACTTATGCCAATGAAAGTGTATGCTGTACAAGCGAAGCTCAATCGCCTGGTGACTCAGTTGTTTAGGCCACATCGGGCCTAGGCATACACATTTATAAAAGTACTAGTCCATAGAACATTGTTTTTAGTGAGGACTACCGTATAAGATACCTTCAAGCGGAGCTTGTGTGTATTCTTTCCGATGATTTGCGCGCCAATGACGAAAGTGTGTTCACTAGATCCGTCGACATGATTACTTTATTCGAAATCACGGCCTGCGGATTGTTTTGCAATTGTCGAAGTCATTGTAGATCAACCAGCACCTCCGTCCTAAGCAAATCCTCACGAAAATTGCTTGGCAAGACCAACTACTCACACAAATCAAATGCAGTGCTGACAGTTCCCTGACTAATCTCCTTTAAGAAAAGTAAAATGGCATCGGGTGTGGAAAAAAAGATGATCTTTTTTTGCAATGAGAAAAAACTCACGTAATCCCCGATTCCTAGGCTTCAAATCTGGAATGGGTCGTCTGTAACGCGTTCCTTTCGTCTTAGACTATGATTTCAAAATCAACGAGCATGAACGCGCCATCATGTTTGAGCCTCACAACCTATAGTAGCGCAAAAGAACAACCCTGATCACGACTAAGTACTACTTGCAATGAGGTATGATGCCAAGGTACACCTGCTCGATTCTAACATATTTATGATCGATATAGACCACGCGTCGCTGCAGACATCGATGTCGCTAATCCATCTCTCACTTACATCGTAATAAGCCTTCATTGCCGAGTATAATTGAAAGGTAAGGCAAATCGAAATGGCTTATAGTGGCGTCGGATGCGCTTTCGCGTCGCCCCAACTACGAATCGCACGATGGTGGAGCTGCCAATTGACGAGGCGACACGTATAACGTATGGGTTAGACGCCACACGTATTGCGTTGCTCTGCCATTCGACAAACTTTCGGTCATTAGGTCTTGCCGGTGGCCATTATATGCAATCGAGATCCGCGCTTAGCAACAAAGGTTGGGGCACTTTGTTTGAACCGCTAGCTACCGGATTGAACCTGTCAGCCGCAGATAATATTCAGTTGAATGGTCAGTCTGAACACGTCAATTGTGCGATCGAGTATAGAACGAAGCACTTACTCAGAGAGACCATGAACCGAAGCAAGATACTCCAAAGCATTGAGTTTGATTTAAATCATGCATTGCGCGCCTTTACAGGCTTAAATCAATATTTTTTAATGTTTGATTTACACTCAAGCTTATTTGACATCGCCACGAAGTGGCCACGGCCATGAGAGTGAGGTCTGTCGCTCAAAATCGATTAGCTGCTATTATCCCGGCTACACATCGAAGCTAACGTACAGATATATTTTAATCAGATTAAGCGTTGTTCGTCGAGATCGCGACAAAAAGACTGAGATCTAGAAAGTTCAATATCAACGTGCCGATACCAGCAGCAGGCAAAAGCACGCATGCATATAAAACGATGATTTAAGCATACCTGTCGATCCACGAACCGCAATTTTCAAACGGCCCTCTGAGGTGCACAGAGTGATGTGAACTCTAACCATAGTGGGTGAACGGTATGAGTTTATTTTTGTGGCGCATTTTTGAAATAGCGAATAAGTGTTTTCATCAATGTGATCCACTAACTAGTGGGAGAATGTATGTACTATATATTTTCGTATCTTCAACTCGTACTTCTGTGTAGAAGTGCAAATATACGATCAAATGTAATAAATCCCATTAGCTTTTAGTTATGGTGATCATTCAGAGGTTCAATGTATTGAGACTATCAAAACGATGGGACATTATAGAGAAAAGCTCATTAGAACAACGTGGACTGGTAAAGCATCAATAAGAGTCTGTTTTTTGAGCAAAAAATATAATTCATATAGGTTGGATATTATTAATTCTGAATATATCGGTTCGCTCGAAATAGCAGAGCAGTTAAAGTAAGTCGTAATTTCGGAGGATCTCTGTTTCGCTTTATGGATAAGGACACTAGCCTAATCTCAGCGCACTGTTACGTGGACTCTCTGACTCATGGCTTTCTTACTCTGTTGCATGACTCGGAAGGACACAATGGTTTTCTAACTGGCCTGTGAGTGGTATGAAATGAGTAAGTCCTTAAGTAGTCGTATTCTTCGTTAAATTGAACAAATTCCCTGTTGGATCCGATTCTCGCGTTATTTCAGTGGCTCGAATCCTTTAAAAACCTGATTTATTTTCAGCTCCACGCTCACTAGATTCTCATTGGTATTATAAGCTCGCCCTGTTGGTAGGAAAAGTATCAATTATTCTGACAATTCACGATCTTAATTCTCCACTTGTAGATTCATTCTTCGTGCCGCTTCTCCAATTTCTGCGTAGCAAGATCCTGAGCAATTGCAGTAAATACCATTGCTTAACCTGTGTACCTCAACTTGACAAATTGCGAATAATTTTAAATATTGAACATCTCTTTGATAGCAATTACTACGCAATCGTTTGCTCAAATCTCGCCCGGGTACAGTATCGAGTCCGCGGCTTTTTTGTCATCTGATGCCACCATAGTATCAGTCACGTTATAAAAGACCATCATTGTCGACAACCAAAAATTCCTCACACCCTTTCTGGTATACGAAAGAATCATCTATAGATACGAGGCGTGAGTGGAGGTCCTTGCTCGATTATTTTGACACATCTCGACATATCCAAATATGAATTTCAGTGTGGTTATCACTAAACCTCGCACTCCTATTGGGTAATATTGGCAAGTCTAATATGGTAAGAACAATGTCAAAGTCATTGTTCTTGAGTACTTGGAGCTTTATAGACTTTATGTGATACCAAGAGTTGTGCAATTCTAGCTGTGTCTCTTACAACTTCTTAAGATTGCCATTAAAAATATTGATGATAAGGTAAATTATTTTTGACTTAGATTCTGCTTAAACAAAGGTTAGCCTCACCCATCAATCGCTTGACATTCCCTAGTCAAAAGATCTGTATCCTCTGTGATGGTAATTCTCAAATCCTTTCACAAAGGTCCACGACATTGTTTCATCATTACTCACCACTTACCCCACTTAAGGCTCTTTTACCGCGTAAGAAATAAATCCACAACGTCTGATACAGCTTTAAAAAAATTAAATTTGTTTCCACCAGGTAATCAATATGAGGGGGGGGTCCTGAGAATGAATCGCGACCTATGATACCTATGGTGAGCTCTAAACTGACCGCGTCCTCGGTGCATTTCAAAGAACTATTTATCAGCCAAAATTATGCATCGTCAACGAGCAAGGATGGCTAGATGTGGCTCGCATTTATCACAGCGCTGTGTCGTTCTGCACACTGTTTCACATAAATCACTACGGTTAAAGCGAAGCAGTATGAAAGGCGGGTCACTTGTCCGATCATGATCCCAATTGTGAATGGCGATAGTGAGATCAAGATTGCTAGTTGATGTGTATGCGAGCATCATCTTTACTTGGATGTCTACAATATCCCACGCCATATTCTATTATCGTAGCTACTGCGTTGCGAGTTGCTGTTAGAACGTGCTATAAGTGCTATTTGGCTGGTGTTGACTTTAAAATACAAAATTGGTACTTGTTGCCTGAAGGGTCGATTATCATCATTGCAGCAGCCTGTTCAATTTCTTGGTGTCACATTAGCTTACATCACAGCTGAACAGCTGAGACACTTTCCTTTCGCAGTAGTTTATAGAGCACTGCAACGTGATCAGCGTTGAATGATGTTGACGAAACCTGTCTCGGTCATTTCTTTGCGCAACTAGCTTTCAAATGTTTTGGATAGCGCTGTAGTGTATTTGGCACCACTTGCTCTGCTTCGAGAACGAAATGGTAATAGGTGTGGATGCGACGACCTAAATGAATGTGGGAAGACTTTGCGAATTTATACGAATTCAGGTCGGCGAAGCCGACAGTGGAGACCTAACTCTCTAACAGGCTTGGCCACTCTTGCTCGGCGTCGGCACTTAACAACTAGCCGTGGCCTCCCACTTGGCTCCGGATCCCTCAAGACTGAGTAGCCTTATGCACAGAATATCCAGCGTAATGCGACCACGGACCCACATTACTCTAAGGCTATTTTTGCTTATCGCCAGCCTTGAAATGCTCGACTGCATTCTTTGCCGAAGACTCTGAAGTGCCCCTGACAACCTCGTGGCGGAAAGAATATTCATGCTGATATCGATAACATTGATTCTTGACGGAAGAAGAGCTACTGCATTCACTCATTCTGCAGCAGGGCTGCCGAAGCTCTTCGCTTAGAGGATGCTAGGTTAAGGTCGGCGATTTTCGTTCTATACTTAGAACCAGTACGAGTGTAGCGGATCGCAATCCACTTTGTAACGGGGTTACATGAGAGTGACCCGTCACTCTCCCAAGGGAGCTGTGGTGT